CCCCAAAACCCCAAAACCCCAAAACCCCAAAACCCCATAACATTCCGTAATTATTGATATCAACTAATTAATAAAATTTTCGATTATTTGAGTCTAAATGGACCCATATGACACCTTGTTTGATCTGCAGGAGCCATCTCAGATCAACTTTGGGACACCCAATCTCTTAGCTGAGGAGAATAGCCATCTCCCGGCTAACGCTGGGGATGGGAATCTCCAACAAAATAGATACATAGATAATGGTCATGGAAATTCGTCATTAGATGAAGAAGAGATTTGTAGAGATCAAAAACTATTAAATTTTGATGAAAACAACGACGTATATTACGATCAAGGTATCTGAAAAGATGAAGAACTCAGCGAATTCATGAATGAAAATCTCTCTGAACACCAAGATAAAGACCTAATGGATATTAGCCACCTCAGAGTGGGTGAAGCCGCCCTGCCACAGCCTCGATCTCTCTTTGAAGTAGAGAATGAAGATAGTAAGTGCAATGTTAATTATTTTGTGCTTCACAGGCTAAAAATTGGTATTTTTGACTATTATCTTCTCTATTGCTTTGTAAAAATGTGAAAAGATGGCTCTGAGCCACAAAGATTGATAGTTTTCTCCGTAATATATCTTTTGCCATATCAAAAAGGAGTGGTAAAAGAATATGGTCATTGGTCTTCAAGTATTGCTTTGTCAAAAATAACAAGAGCTTCCCAAAATTTTGCTCTAATGTTGATAAATTTATCTCTCGCCAGAAATCCTGAGACTTCACACGGAGATAATTCTTCCTTCCGCATTTATAATATTTCCTATCATAGAGAAGAGTGTATTACCAAAAGGAATATGAATCGTGTTGAGCAAACTATCCTGTTCAAAATATTGTTTCAAAGAGGCTATCTATTGATGCAAGAGATGTAAAACTCGCACTGTAAGCATCCTCAGTAAAACCTTGTGAGCCTCCTAGTTCCTTGGTGAGATTCATAGATATTACATTAAATTTTATGTGGTAGATTTCGTAATATCCAATTTTCACATATTAATCTGGTTACGGTTATAGCCAATTCATAGTCATGGCAGCCACATCCATTGCTGTACTAAGAAAAGGATCAACAAAGGTAAGCTTCATGTTCTCCAAGTCCTAGCCATTTATATATCTCCATTATATGGGATTAAACTCATCATCTTTGTTGACTCAACCGGAGGTGGAGTACTCAAGTTAAAAATATGAAAAACGAGCTTGAAGTAGTCTGAATTCTCTTAATGCTCTTCATTTTCGACAATATGGATTTAGGCCTAATTACCCTCTTTCATGAGATTTCTAAAATTTATATCTCTCTTCCTGAAAATCAGAGTAGCATTTTATTTGCTTGGTAAGAAAACTCAAGGGAAATCAGAGCCCTAGAATCAATCTTTCCTTAAGGAAAATCCTGATATACTAGTTATTTCTAAATTTAGCGGCTAGACAAACTATTGGGGTGAAGTAACAAATTCAAAGAGAGAATATTGATAGGTTCTCCCCTGTCTCATTGATAAATCTCTCTATCAGATGCTGAATTTAGAGCCACAAATTTTAGAGTTTAGACACCGCTTTCTTCTAGCTGAAATTATTGAGATCCAACTTTTATTGAACTATTTAGTTCAAATAATTTTGAACAGGAGAGAGTAAAGAAACAGCACTAAATAAATTTAAACATTTTTAATAAAAGTCATCTCATTATATACAGCAACTCTTGTTTTCTTTCTAAACGACCTCTTGAAAATATTTAGCTCATTGATAAAATACACAGTAAGGTGCGACACCTGAATGTGAAGAAACTTTATAATATTATTTTGATTCATGGAAATATTGTCATAGATATGAAGTGCTAGTTACTTCTTGAAACTTCTCAGTCCCAGCTGGGGTTGGGCAAGAATCACAGAAATTCCTTCACAAGTTATGTAATTATTTTGATTAGTCCAAAATTCCTATGAAATCCTGCTATCAATTATAGAAAAAGGAGACTAATTACCAAAGATGGCCTCTCACAGAGGCCATCTTTGATATTTTTGCTAATTTTTATAATTTTAGAAGAAGAAAAACACCGGAATGGATCAGCACATGGCCTCAATAAGTTATCTCGGACCGACCGTCTAGTTGGACTCCTGAGTATCGAAGAAAGATCTGTAAAGGTAAATCGATACCTTGAGAAATAAAAGACGAAGGAAATGGAATAAAAAGATTAATTATCATAGTCGCAAGAAGGTTGCAGACACTCGTCCAAGGTTCAAAGGTAGGTTCGTCTCAGTTGACCAAGCTGATGAGTACAACAAGAGGTTGAGAGAAGAACTCCAGGAAAAGTTAAGGAAGGAACGTATGTTCGTGACTCAAAAAATTGATAAGACCAGCGGAGCTATTTTAAAAACAGTTTACCCTAATATCGAGGCTCTCAATTATGACGTGGAGCACTTGAATACTTCTGATAATGACTCACATAAAAGTTGCTTTAATTTAAAACATAACAATGAAGTGATGACATATATCGGGGACATCCCTTTAGAGATGTAGGAAGAAATCTTTTGATCCAAAATCAGTTGTACAATAATGCCCTGATTACTTAATTTATATCAAAGATTTGCTAGTAAACCCCTTGGTCTCCAGCTAGTCTTATTTGCTGCCAACATTTTCATTTTTGTCGATATCTCTAAGCTAATATTTGACACATTTCCCAGAACTTTTCGGAATTGGGAAGTGAGTCCTGATTTCCTTCTATGAAACCAACTCAACCAGAAGTGAGTGACTATAATCATTTCTGACATTAAAGTCATGGAAAGATACTCATTAGAGTGTTTACGGCTCAATTTATTTAATAATTTTAGGGGTTTTGGGGTTTTGGGGTTTTGGGGTTTTGGGGTTTTGGGG